AGGTCTCTCACTGAGGTAGTCATTACCGCCTCCGAGAGAATGTTGTTATATTTTAGGCGACAGTATTTGCAATACGTTTGTGCAGTTTGGTTGTGGGATTTAGTGTTAAGAATTTGTTTGTTGTATTTTAGTTTAATTTTCACGGATGAATGTTAAGACTAGGTGATTATAAATGGCAAAGTGGTAACTCGATCATGAATGCAAGCAAGACTTGTTTATGGATGCACAGCCCCGATGCACGGGCATGTACAGCTCTTCTTACTGCATATACAACCGGCTGCACATTTCTCTTTTTTCCTATCCATGTTTATATATAAATATCGCTAATATTTTTAGTATCAGATCATAATCTTAAGCAAAAATTGCATGGGTTATAAAAATATATATCGTTACTTTCCCCAAGTACATGAAGTCTCCCCGTACTAGAGTACCAGAGAACAAAGTTTTTTCCTCCGACTGACAAGCGATACCTACAGCACTGCCATTACTCCAGCAGGGGCGGGTGTGAGCGAGTCATGGGCGGGATAGAGGCGGTGTGGTCTCCATGGTAACAGTGTGTGGGTTGGAAAGTTTCGCTCACTTGGCAACCGCGGTGATGTGGGTCACCGGCGAGACGCATTCCCACCCATCCGCCCATGTAGGGATAGTCCTCCTCGCAAAGAAAAGCCGGTCTGTTAAAATAGTGCGAGGTACAACCCAATGGATATGCATCTTTAGACATTCATACACACTGAAATAAATGTATCTGTCAGTCTTTAGACTTGCTTATCTACCTGATAGATAGATAAATGTATATCCATCAGATATAGATGAATGTATATCCCTCAGATAGATAGGATATGCATTATTTTTTTGTATATACATGTCCGTATATATGAATAATCATTGGGGCGGACCTCGCACAATTTTAGCAAACGGGTCGTAATTTCGGTGTGGGAGCAACACATGATCAGACATTTAACCTTTCTTATTAGATTCAATGACGAGAATAATTGCTTAATAACAGAGGTGTGATCCTTGCATGTTGGCGGTTCTTCTGATCGTATTCTTTCCTTAAGAGTTTTAGCATAGATATTGAGTAGGTTTCTTCATAATGTTGTATCGAGAGACAAGTCAGGTTATATTATTCCTTTTCGATATTTAGCATAGGCATTGAATGTAGGCCTGTTCCTTCATAATGTTATATCAAGAAACAAGCCAGTGCACATTCACTCTTCCGGTATTTAGTACTGATTGTGTGTTGTCCCTCGTATAAAATTATATCAAGAAACAAAGGCGGTGCACATCCTTTCGATATTTAGCACTGAATGTAGGCCTATTCCTTCGTAACATTATATAAACCGGTCACTTCACACCCTCTCCCCGCCTTCCTTCCCCAGAGCCATGACGGAATGGTGGTGCGCTCGGCTACCAAGGTGACGAGCGACGTCCTTGCAGCAGCGCCCGCCCTCAAGATCGTGGGCCGGGCGGGGACGGGCGTCGACAACATCGACGTCGAGGCTGCCACGCGGAGGGGCGTCATTGTGATGAAGTGAGTGCTTCTCTCGCTGGAATGAGCAATTTCTGTCTGTTCTGTTTCAATTCTGTTTCTCGGTACGTTTGTTTCTGCCTGTTTATCTGTTCTTCTGTTGTCTGTCTATTTCTGTCTTTCCTATTTGACTGTATGGTTCTACTTACATATTTGTCTCCCTCCCTTCCTCTGTCCCCACTCTTCACCCTTTCTTTCGCTTCCTCCGTCCCCTCTCCTCTCCCTCTTTTTTCCTTCCCTTCCTCCCTCCCTATTTTTTCTCACTCCCTCCCTAATTTTTTCTCACTCCCTCCCTAATTTTTTCTCACTCCCTCCCTAATTTTTTCTCACTCCCTCCCTAATTTTTCTCACTCCTCCCTAATTTTTTTCTCACTCCCTCCCTATTTTTTCTCACTCCTCCCTAATTTTTTCTCACTCCCTCCCTAATTTTTTCTCACTCCCTCCCTAATTTTTTCTCACTCCCTCCCTAATTTTTTCTCACTCCCTCCCTAATTTTTCTCACTCCCTCCCTATTTTTTCTCACTCCCCTCACTCCCTCCTAATTTTTTTCTCACTCTCCTCCCTAATTTTTTCTCACTCCCTCCCTAATTTTTTCTCACTCCCTCCTTTTTTTCTCACTCCCTCCCTAATTTTTTCTCACTCCCTCCCTAATTTTTTCTCACTCCCTCCCTAATTTTTTCTCACTCCCTCACCTGTACCATTCATTCTAAACTCTCGTGTTCTCAAGTAGTCTGCGATAAGCCGTTCCTGGTGAGTCAGGGTTCTGCCGCCGATAAGCCCTATCAGTGCCGCAGGATTTCCGGAATTACGAGTCTGTCTACTTGGTGCATATTTACGATTAGATGCATAAGTATTATGCATTTTCTTTGGATTCTTGGTCAAATGAGGATGGGCTTTTGCATGTGGGCCTTGGTTGCAGGGCATCGTGAGTGCATGGTTACTGAGTATTGTATGTGGATCGTCGCTGCTCTTGTCTCTCTCTCCTCTTCTTCCTCTTCTGCGTCTTCTTCCTCTTCTCTTCTTATCTGCATCTGCATCTTCTCCCTCTTCCTCTCTTCTTCTCTTCTGCATCTGCATCTGCATCTTCTCCCTCTTCCTCTTCTTCCTCTTCTGCATCTGCATCTGCATCTTCTCCCTCTTTCCTCTCCCTCTTCCTCTTCTGCATCTGCATCTGCATCTTCTCCCTCTTCCTCTTCTTCCTCTTCTGCATCTGCAATCTGCATCTGCATCTTCTCCTCTCTCCTCTTCTTCCTCTTCTGCATCTGCATCTGCATCTTCTCCTCTTCTCTTCTTCCTCTTCTGCATCTGCATCTGCATCTTCTCCCTCTTCCTCTTCTTCCTCTTCTGCATCTGCATCTGCATCTTCTTCTTCTGCATCTTCACCTTCTCCCACTGTCTGCTCTTCTTCCTCTTCTGCATCTGCATCCTCTTCTACTGCCTCTTCTGCATCTTCTCTCCCTGTCTGCTCTCTTCTTCCTCGCCTCTGCCCTGCCCCTGTCTACTCCTCCCTCCCGTCTTCTTCCGGCTTCCTTTCTTATTTGCCCTGAACGTCCTCAAAAATGCAAATGAATTCAAGTCGCATCATTGCCTCTTTCCGAATGCGTGTATAAATGTCGCTCACTCATTGAAAATTCTTACTTCTCACTCCGCTTCGTGCACAATCCTTAGCATTTGCCAGAAGTGAAAGGTGGGATTTGCAAAGATGGGAAAAAGTTGGATTCTCTGGGTTTAACATTTGCAACGTGTTATTGCATATCATCTTGCAAGATTTGGTCCTGTTGTTAATGTATAAATGTATTTTTTTAATTCAAATATGGAGAAGATTTAATCCACAGTTTAGTTAGTTGGCCGGGATAAGCACGCCCAGTCTTGTCTGCGTCACGGAACATGTGTTTGTCCTGACCTTGGGATGACAGTGAGCTATTGTCAGGAGGAGGAAGAAGCTGTCATGGTTGATATAAGATTTAATTTATATCTGTTATCTCTTTGCTATAGAATCAACACTGAGACAAAATTTATTTCCATTTTTTTCTTGTAAATTTATATATTTCCTTCATATCTAACGTAGGATAGGACAGCAGAGGTTCAAAAGACATAACCCCGCTGCCTCTTACTAGCCAAAGCGGTATGAACTGGTATGCTGCTTATTAGTATCTCTTAAGAATATTAGCCTTGAAGCATTTTTTTATGCGAAAGATTATATTCCCTTTGTATCGGGAGTACGAAGAGAGCAGAGGTGGTATTACCTTCACGGTCAAAACTCGTCAAACCTATTTCGAATACCGTTTCGAAAATCCGCTTAACACCGGATTTTTTTTTTTTAGACCGTTTCGAAGCTTCAATTTATGACATTTTATCCGTCACTGTACGATAGTTGAATTATCCCGCGCCCTCTTGTTGGCCGAAGCGGTGTGAACTGGTATGCTGCTTGTTAATATCTCCAAGAATATTAGAATATTATCAATTAATGTAAATGATATTTCCTTTGTATCTAATGTACGAAGAATCAGCAATGATAGTAGAATAGATAACCCCGCTCCCTCTTGCTGACCAAAGCGGTGTGAACTGGTATGCCGTCAGCGCTTCTCCTCTGGCACTCGCAGGAGCATCGGTCGCTCGCTCCTAAATAAAAAAAAAAAAAAAAAAAAAAAAAAATCACTGGTCGCGTTTTCTCTAAGGGGGATACTCGGCTGGTGTGGTTGGTCTATCTGATCGGCCTAGTCTGTTTGCTTTCTCTTCGTCTCACTTTCCCTGTCTCCCTCCTTTCTTCTTTCTGTCCTCCCTCCCTCCTCATTTCTTCTTTCTCTATATCCTCTCTTTCTCTCCCCTCCCTCCTTCTTCTCTCTTTCTCTCTCCCTCCCTCCTTCCTTCTCTTTCTCTCTCCTCCCCTCCTTCTTCTCTCTTTCTCTCTCCCTCCCTCCTTTCTTTCTCCTTCTCTCTCTCACTCCTCCCCTCCCCTTTCTCTCTCCTTCTCTCTCTCACTCCCTCCCCTCCCCTTTCTTCTCTCCTTTCTCTCTCACTCCCTCCCTCCCTTTCTTCTCTCTCTTCTCCTCTCACTCCCTCCCCCCCCCTTTTCTTCTCTCCTTCTTCTCTCACTCCTCCCTCCTTCCTTCTCTCCTCTCTCTCTCACTCCCTCCCCTCCCTTTCTTCTCTCCTTCTCTCTCTCACTCCCTCCCCTCCCCCTTCTTCTCTCCTTCTCTCTCTCACTCCTCCCTCCCCTTTCTTCTCTCTTCTCTCTCTCACTCCCTCCCTCCCCCTTTCTTCTCTCCTTCTCTCTCTCACTCCCTCCCCTCTCCCCTCTTCTTCTCTCCTTCTCTCTCTCACTCCTCCCTCTCCCCTTTCTTCTTCTCTTCTTCTCTCTCACTCCCTCCCCTCCCCCTTTCTTCTCTCCTTCTCTCTCTCACTCCCTCCCTCCCCCTTTCTTCTCTCTTCTCTCTCTCTCTCACTCCCTCCCCCTCCCCTTTCTTCTCTCCTTCTCTCTCTCACTCCCTCCCTCCCCCTTTTTCTCTCCTTCTCTCTCTCACTCCTCCCCTCCCCCTTTCTTCTCTCCTTCTCTCTCTCACTCCCTCCCCTCCCCCTTTCTTCTCTCCTTCTCTCTCTCACTCCTCCCCTCCCCTTTCTTCTCTCCTTCTCTCTCTCCCTCCCTCCCCCTTTCTTCTCTCTTCTCTCTCTCACTCCCTCCCTCCCCCTTTCTTCTCTCCTTCTCTCTCTCTCCCCCCCTCCCCTCTTCTCTACCTCCCTCCCCTCCCCCCCCTTTCTTCTTTCTCTCTCTCCTCCCTCCTCTCTCCTCCCCTCACTCTCTATCCCATGCCTAAAATTTTAAAATCGTTTCACCTTCTGCAGGACGAAGTCAAATCAAGCATTAGGCAAAAGCTTCGTCTTCATATTTAAATTTTTTCAAATCATGTTTTTATCCTTAACCAATTATCCTTGAAGACTGGCAAAACAACATTTTTTTTTTTTATATGCAAAACGATACAAGAGAGACTTAAGGGTGTTCAGTGGGGATTGATTGAAATTAAAGATTAAGAATACGAGAAGGTCATGTGCAGGTAAGAAACATTTTAAATATTTTAATATTTTAGAATTGTCAGACTTGCGTGTTTTGGAAATTATCCCTTTTTTCGTCTCCCCTTCGCTTCCTGGTTTAAAGTTTTGCAAAGGTGTGCGTTCTCAGAGTGCGTTAGAATTCCCATCATTGTATTGAAAAGGAGAAATCTTTGTTATATCAACACGCGAGTGAAGTGCGTGTGAAAATGGTCTTTAATTTCCCCTCGTACCTTTTTATATTCTACCCCCGACACCATACCGTATATATATATATTTTTTTCTGTTGCTCTCCCCAGCACGCCGGGCGGCAACACCCTCTCCGCTGCAGAGCACACCTGCGCCATGGTCTGCTCCCTGTCGCGTTCCGTGCCCCAGGCCTGCGCCGCCCTCAAGGCCGGGAAGTGGGACCGGAAGTTGTACATGGGCTCCGAACTCTACGGGAAGACCCTCGCCATCGTCGGCCTCGGGAGGATCGGCAGAGAGGTAATGCCAAGATTCCGGGGGAAAGAAGCCTGGTTTTGTCTTATGTTATATTGTATTTTTTCTCTTTAGATTGTTTTCCATGGGGGACAAATTTAATCTAGTTTGATAAATTTGTATCTTTCGTTTCGCCACAGGTTGCCAAGCGCATGCAGTCCTTCGGCATGACCACCATCGGCTACGACCCTATGATCCCCGCCCACGTGACCGCTGAGTGGGGCGTGGAGTCCATGTCGCTGGAGGAGCTGTGGCCGCGGGCGGACTACATCACGGTGCACACACCGCTCCTTCCTCACACGCGCAACCTCATCGGGTCGGAGGTCTTGAGCAAGTGCAAGCGAGGCGTCCGCATCGTCAACGTGGCCCGAGGTGGCATCGTGGACGAGGCGGCGTTGCTGGTGGCCCTGGAGGACGGCCGCTGCGGAGGGGCGGGCCTGGACGTGTTTCTGGAGGAGCCCCCGACGGACCTCACCCTCTGCCAGCACCCGAAGGTACGGCGTCAGCTGCTGTCTGCGTTTTTTTTTTTTTTTTTTTTGTGTGTGTATATGTTTGTGTTCTTACACCCCGATTGTGACCTTCCTTTTGAATAGTTCCTATAAGTCTGTGTCTCTCTTACCCGACCTATTTCCTACTCCGTCCACGCAGGTGATCTGCACTCCCCACCTCGGAGCCAACACCAAAGAGGCGCAGCGTCGCGTGGCCTGCGAGATCGCCCAGCAGATGGTGGACATGATGCAAGGAAAGCCCTTGGTGGGCGTCATCAACGCCCCGGCGCTCACCAACGCCACCAGCGACGCCTGCAGGCCGTGGATCGAGCTGGCGCAGTCGCTGGGCTGCCTCGCCAACCGGATCTCCCAGCCCACGGACACGCCGTCCCTCTCCATTTCCCTTCATTTATATGGTGAGCGCAGATCTACCCGTCTGGATATTGGGATGAATACATCTACGTTAACTTTTCTTATCTAACCGCCAGTAGGTGTAATCTCGGGTTATGACCAGCCTTATCGTCCAGTAACTTTTACAAATGACTTTCAAAAATGGGGCGAAGCTTATAACCCTGCCAATCCTCTGCGCAGGCCCCGGTGTATCCAAGATGAAGACGTTCCTCGGTTCGGCCGTCCTCGTGGGGCTGCTGAAGGAGATGGCGAGCTCGGACGTCAATCTGGTGAACGCCCCCCTGATGGCGCAGGAGATGGGGGTCACCGTCACCGTGGACGACCACCCCGACATCTGCCCCTCCATCGCTGCCGCAGGACCCGAGGCCGTGGAGGTCAAGGTCACCAGAGGACTCAATACACACACGCTTTTGGGTGAGAGAAGGAGCGCTTTTCCCACGAAACTTGCTTTGATTTTGGAGGCTAACACTTTTAAGACGAACATGATGTAAACTGCTTGAAAATATATAAATTTCTCCATCTGGGTATATATTAGTCATCAGAAATGTTTTGAATATATGACGCTTTTGGGTAAGATAAGTAGCGTTTTTTCTATTACTTTTTGCTTTGATTTCGAAAATTCATTGTAGGGCTAACACTCGTCATGGAACATGGACTTAGAATAGAAGCTGCAAACCATTTGGATAAATATATATTAAATAATCCTAGATGTTTAGAAAACATGACGTGAGGAAATACAAGCGAAAGCAAGCAGGTAGACTAAACTGACTGTACACCTTGCAGGCAACGTGTCCGGCGGCCAGGCCACCCTCTACGGCCTCGACGGGTGCGTGTGGGAGGCCGGCCTCACCCTGGGGCGCAACATGCTTTTCTTCACCGCCTCCCCCGGGACCTCCCCCCTCGCAGCCATCGCCACACAGCTGGCCAGCCTCCAGGCCTCCCTCACGTCGCTCTCCTCGTCCGTGCCCAACACCAAGGAGGGCTGGCACGTGGCTAGGACCCAGGCCGCCGTCGACTTCCAGAGCGCCATCCCAAACGCCAGACTCGTAGCTCAGGTATCCTTCTGAGCGTTGCGAGGGACAGCAGGGCGGGAAGGTCGCTCGTGTCGCAGAGGATCTAAGGCATCGTTCCTGTTGCAAATCCTCAGCATCGCCGCCATTGCTTCTGGTCGAGGGCGAAGCTGAGTGGCGAGGGACCGATCTCGTGTTGTGCTTTGTTATGGATTCAGAGATTTGTTGTTATCGCTATTTCTATTCGCATCTTGTGCCTTTCTCCACCCAGTTGTTTGTTATGACACGTATACATATCTATATATCATACATATGTGATTCTATATATATGAGTATATATAAATCCGTAGTATATATTATATAAACGAATGAGTTTCGTTTCCCCTGCACTGTCTGAAAAATCTTCATGTATCTTCCATTAGACGCTTATTGTCCGTTGTACCTTGACCCAGAAGAGGGGTCCTTTATATAAAATAAAGTCTTCGTTTTTTTCAAATTTCTCTTTTTAATGTCCTTGTATTTTGTTAGGTTTTGTAATTAAAAGAACGGTTAATTTGAGTATTTATTATTAAATATGACAGTTTATTAAAAGACGCAGTAAAATCATATCACATAAATCAAACAGAAAATCACGATGAATTTTTATATTTTACCCTAGTATATACAAGTATGTGTGCGTCTGCGTGTCTGCGTGTGTGTGTGTCTGTTCATGTGTGTGTGTGTGTGTGTCTGTTCATGTGTGTGTGCGTGTGTGTGTGTGTGTGTGTTGTGTGTCTGTTCATGTGTGTGTGCGTGTGTGTCTGTTCATGTGTGCGTGTATGTTCGCCTCGAATGACGAAAATACTGTAGTTCTACTTTTTCATAAAAGTACAGGACGGATATTTGTTACTGTTCTGCAAATAAGAAGTAAAGAGCAATGAAGTCGATGCCCAGAAAGCTTCATTCCATTCTCCAGTTTTCCTTATGATTATTTAGCAAATACTTTTCGAAACAGATAGAAAAACAAGCCTTTTAGATTGGTATTTATAAAACCAAATTTACATCTACTCGTATAGGGGAGTGCATCTTATATATTAAATTTTAGAAACCGGTTCGATTTGAAATATTTTCTCCTATTAAATTTTAGAAACCGGTTCGATTTGAAATATTTTCTCCTAAGATGCTACTAATACAATGAAGAAACTTAGTCTTAAATGAATAATAGCAATCTAGGATCTTCTGATATACATGAAACCAATATCTTACCGATCCCTGCTCTAGGCCACCACATAATACTAAATATAAAAGGTTTTAAGTGACTATCTTTTCTGGTTCATAACCTTGATCCTTGGCAATATGGAAATAAGACTTATGATATAGGAACTTCAACTCCTAATGGCAACCCTGCCGTCCAATTAATTCAATTTGAGTAAAATGGCATCCATTTGTTTTATAAATAATCTTTTATGTTAGTGGGAGAGAGAGGTCGCGAGGCAAGGAAGTTACTGTAGCCAAAAAATATTATAGAAAATAGGGTTGCACAATTCCGGATTTGCAATGATGTAAAGTAAGCCACGCACTTTTAAAAGGCAGTCCGCACGAACGGGTATGTTGAGCGGGCACAGAGGCAGGCACAAATGGCACGAACTGAGATGACGTCGAGGCGGGTAAATTACTCGGATAAACTAGTAATGCTCATTCTCATGGACATGCCCCAAGGGTACGAAAGGAAAGGGTCATCATCAGCGCCTAATGCCTTGCCCGTTGGAATGACATGTGCCTCGAAGACCCACATGCCCTAATATGGCATCGGTCTTGAATGGTGTTGCCAAGTCTACATGACAGATTACGTATTTTTCTTATCGTGCGTGTAGCTCTATCTGTTGCCCGGCGCCTACTGCTAAATAATCATGCAACCCTTATCACATACTGACAGTCTCCGTGGTTATCGGTCGTTACTCCGTATATCGAGGTGCCGCTGTCTACATCGAATACGCAAAGATTCGGTGACGCAACCGAAGAACTGATATAGAATATGAATCCGATAAAGGAATAGG